CCCATTAAATCTGGTCTTTGTGTGCTTTTACCCTCTACTATTCAGATCTCACAGAGGAGACCTGTGTTTCTCAAACTGGGGGGTCCTGACCCCAAAAAGGGCTTGTGGGGGTTGCAAGGTTATTTTAGGGTCATTGTGATATGGCCACCCATCCTTCTGGGCTCCCTTCAGAGCTAGGCAGCCAGAAGGCCACAGTGGTGGCTATTAAATCTGGTCTTTGTGTGCTTTTACCCTCTACTATTCAGATCTCACAGAGGAGACCTGTGTTTCTCAAACTGGGGGGTCCTGACCCCAAAAAGGGCTTGTGGGGGTTGCAAGGTTATTTTAGGGTCATTGTGATATGGCCACCCATCCTTCTGGGCTCCCTTCAGAGCTAGGCAGCCAGAAGGCCACAGTGGTGGCTGCTGTCCTGGCACCAAGCTCTGAACACAGCACCCAATTAGCAGCTGTGCGGAAGTAAGGGTGGCAATACCATCATATGTCAACCTTACTTCTGTGCTGCAGCCTTCAAGTGGGCAATGAGAGAGTGGTGGCTGCTGACTGAGGATCCAGCTCTGAAGGCAGCAGTAAGCATGGCAATACCATTCCATACCATCCTTTTGTCCCGCTGCTGGTGGCAGTTCTGCCTCCAGGGCTGGGCTTCCAACCAGCACCCACCCTCTCAGCGTGCCCAGCACTCAAGGCAGCACTGCCACCAGCAGCAATGCAAAAGAAAGGGTTGCAGCACTGTAAACCCTAAAACCACCTTGCCACACATGCACATCCCCCGACTCCTTTTTGGGTCAGCACCTCTACAAGAACACCGCCATGACATTTCAGAGTTAAATAGCTAAACCATGAAGTGTATTATTTTTAAAATCCTCTGACTGTAAAATTGACCCAAATGGACTGTGAATTTGGAGACCCCCTACCTATTATATTAGCAGTTTGACCATCGTCTTTCAAAAATTCTGCAAACAACGTTGTAAATAATTTAAGGCAAACTGCTGCATCATTGCCTCACAATCCCATTTTGGGGGGAAATATTTTTGTAACCTTCAATCCTCTGTTCCTTACACTTTTTCCTGTCTCTTATCACAACCTGTATATCCCTTTCCCTTAATTCTTTATTACAGTGCCTTCCTTAGGTCCTTTTGGTTTGAAGTAGGTTTGCTAAACCAATCTCTACTGTGGCCAGACATTTCCTCATCTAGAGGAAAGGCTGAACTATAGTTCAGACTTGGTTTGGCTGCTTTTCCCAAGCTTCCTTAACAAGATCAATAGGATTCATCAGGGTTGATAACCCTTCAAGCATTCCAAAGAGCAAAAGTCTAGTGAAGCCATATTATGAAGAAAAAGTAAGGCAGAAGATGGTCCCAATCCTTTCCATCCACTGCCATGAATTTTCACAATGTACACTTGAGAGATTTGCTAAAATTTCTGAGTTGTCTATCAGTTTGAGGTTCAGATTGACTTAAATTTAAGAGTGTCCCAAACTTCTGGGTAAGATAAAGTTGGTCCCTTGGTCAAATCCTTGGTACTCAGTCAGGGTATGTCTACATAGCAGCATTTTTTCGGAATAACTGATGTAGAATAACTACACTACAAGCCTTTATTTTAAAATAATTGCAAGGTGGAGGACTTCTTACTCCTACTCCTGTAACCCTCATTTTACGAGAAGTAAGGGAAGTTGAAGGTAGTGTTCTTCCTTCAACTTCCTGCGGTGTAGTCCTCACTTAAAGCCAAGTTAAGCTATTTCGACTTAAGCTACGCAATTGATGTAGCTGAAGTTGCGTAGCTTGATTCAACTTTACCCTGCTGTGTAGATGTACCCCCAGAGTAAAGATTTTTGTATTAGTTCTTCAGCTAATCTAGGCAGAGTTTGTTAATCAAGTCCTTCATCAGGGAACAAAATAAACAAGCGTACTAGTCTCAGCAAAGTGACTGTGACTCATCTGCAGCTTGAGAATTATTTGCTGATGAAACTGAAGTCTACTTCCAACTAAAAAATAAATGTGAGAATTTTGCGGACCATTCCCACAAAAAACCTAAAGATAAATAAAAAAATTAATGGAGATTTCCTATCTCCTAGAACTGGAAGGGATCTTGAACGGTCATCGAGTCCAGTCCCCTGCCTTCACAGCAGGACCAAGTACCATCCCTGACAATTTTTGCCCCAAATCCCTAAATGGCCTCCACAAGGATTGAACTCACAATCCTGGGTTTAGCAGGCCAATGCTCAAACCACTGAGCTAATGTCCTGACTGAGCTATGTCAAAAGACATATGGTGAATTTTTGCTTAGTTTAAATTGACAAGGGCAGCGAACTTATGCCTTATCGGGCATATCATGCCTATCATGTAGTGCTAAGTACAATTATAAGTCTATGTAAAACAACAAGAACAATTTTGGGGTAGTTGGTCTGTGCTACAATTTCTTCTCTTCTCTTTACAGGAATGACATGCCAAGCTCGAAGTTCTTATGTAACCAGCGAGATCCTGTGGGGTCATCGTTTTACCCCTGTCCTCACACTAGAGGATGGATTTTATGAAGTTGACTACAACAGTTTTCATGAAACATATGAGACCAACACACCATCTTACAGTGCCAAAGAACTGGCAGAGATGGCCAGCCAAGCAGAACTTCCCCTAACTTGGTCTGTGTCCAGCAAACTAAACCAGCATGCTGACCTGGAAACTGAAGAGAGGGAAAAGAACCACGAAGACCAAACCGAAAGGAATGGTGATGTGGCAAACTTAGAAAATGAATCCAAAGTTTGAACCAACAGAGCTTCACCACCCCACCTCTTTTTTCCTTTTGAGCCTTCCCTTTTTTTATTATGACAAGACAAGAAATATTTACGGTGTGAAATGTCTACCTGTCCAATCTCAAATCAAGAGATTCATAAAATAAGCAAAAGATGTAGGTTAAAGCTGCAATATTCCTTATTTACAATGAAATCTCTGACCATTGCCCTTCCAACCATCACATATTTCCTCTGAATAAATATCAGTTTGTGACCACAGGTGTGTTTAAAAAGGAACCAAAAAAAAGTGAGGTGGGTGAGACTCAATATCTGGGATAATAAAAGTAAAGACTGTGATTAATGTTTGTTAATGCCATGGGCCTTGGCTCTAATTTTTATATATGTCAAGACAGTTTCATAAACAGGATGTGATGCCGCAAATGATAATGGGCATTGCAGCTGTAAGACCTAGGTGAGCAGAGAGAGCTGCAGTTCAACAAGATACTGTATATATGCCTTATGTAATTACTTTCTCTTTAAATTTAGTAATAAACCCAGCATGTACAAAAATATTGTAGTAAAGAACTGCTAAATAATGTACATAGATGTGTAATTAATGTAGGTTTAGATATATAATTCTAGAAATATTGGGATGCAAAAAACTGAATAGGGATTTCTGTTTTAATATATGGAGTACATTAGTTTCTTCCCTATATACCTGGCCATTTTAGTACACAGCACTTTCTTCAGTGTACCAGACTGGCAGCTACTTAGAAGACCTCACTGACCCCCTAACAAATCATTTTACTGATTCTAAAAAGCCATAAGTCTGGGGGGGGGAGCGGACAGGGCGGGCAGGGGGGAGAAATTGCAACATCACTAGTGATATACTGTGAAACTGTTTACAAAAATGATCCTATCTTTTATATTATTATAGGGCAAACCATTCCTGGCTACATTCGTAGATCAGCTTAACTTAGTCTGTGGCAGATTCTTGGAAAACACAAGAAACTTTGATATACTGTTAATATATAAAGCATGTTCATGTTGGGCTAGGACCCCGTAGGTGCACTATCATGAGGTTTTCCCCTAAATCATTGGATTAAAACTGTGTAGTTTTCTACATAAACAGTATAAGCCATTGAGAATTCTAAATGTTATCCATAGATAAGTGGAGAACACTTTCAGTAACCCAGCCTGGGAAAAAATAATTGTATTTAATCTAAAATTGCAATCAATGAGATTCATTCATTAACATCTTTGGCACTATGTTGGTCATGAACATTCCTAAAAGGCTTAATGGCCCAAAGTAATTTTCACCAAGATTTCTCATATAAAAGCCCACTTAGAATCATAGGGTCAGAAGAGACCTCAGGAGGCCATCAACTCCAACCCCCTGCCCAAAGCAGGACCAACCCCAACTAAATCATCCTTGTCAGGACTTTGTCAAGCCAGGACTTAAAAACCTCTTGGGATGGAGATTTCGTCATCTCCCTAGGTAACCCATTCCAGTGCTTCACCACCCTCTTAGTGAAATAGTTTTTTCTAATATCCAACCTAGACCTCCCCCACGGCAACTTGAGACCATTGGCTCCTTGTTCTGCTGTCACCACTGAGAACAGCCTTTCTCCATCCTCTTTGGAATGCCCTTTCAGACAGTTGAAGGCGGCTATCAAATCCCCCCTCTTCTGTAGACTAACTAAGCCCAAATCCCTCAGCTTCCTCTCACAAATCACTTCTAACATCTCTACTCACTTCTAACATCTCTACACCTTCCACTCCTGCTCATATTGGGCCCAATTCTCAGCAGATTTAAATTATTTTGATTTGATGCAAACTATGATGATTTGCTTAGTTTACACCAATCACACCAGCTGGGGATCTGGCCCATAGAATACTACCCAATTTATCAAATGCACGCACTCTGAGGTGACTCACAGCATGTGGTATTACTCAACATAAGGATGGATGCAACGGGTCTGGTGTGCATAAAATAATATCAAATAAACAACTGCCACTGACTTCAGTGGGCTGTGTCTCTGGCCCATAAAGAGTACTATTTCCCTCAGTGAAGAGAAGAACAAACTACAGCCTTAAATATTTTTTTTGTACCTGCCTAGTCTGGATAAGAAGAATACACTGAAAAGTATTTAACGTTTTGGGGTTTGGTTGATTGGGTTTGGGGGAGCGTACAAAAATTTAAGTTCACATAAAAGGGGAAAAACCTCAGGAGAAACCTTAATGGGCAGGAGGAAATTTTGCACTGTGATATAACCTTCACATTAATTTCACATCTATATCAATTTTTACTGAAACACAATAGCCCATCCTTAATTTTCATTGAGTTATAAGAGTTGATTTGGCTCCTACAGCTCTGCTTGTCTCCAGGCAGACAAGGTTTTCCACACCTCGATTAAAACAGCTAAGCCTCCTGTTTGCTTCATTTCTGGAAATGTTCTCTAACAGGTTCACACAAAGACGCTACTCATATGGTTCCCACAACTAAAGCAATTGTTCAGAAGATGCATTTTTGTTCCCCTCCACCAGGAGGGCTGATTTAATCAGGCAGTTACAGCTTGTTGCTTATTTCATTTAGTTTGGTGAAATAAAACTGGTTTTGCTACAGACCTGTTTAAAATAGAATGGCATCCTTTGTTTGCTGCCACAGTGTCAGAAGCTGCTCAGTGCTATGGTTTATACAGCACACCTTGTCTTTAAGGCTGCCTTTGAGAGCCAAGGAATTCCCAAAGCAGACCAGGGTGAATGTGTGTGTGTGCTTCTTAAGGTGTTTTAATTTCATTCTGAAATCCCACTGGAGAACAACAGTCACATAGCATAGGTAGTCTTATAAGACAGAACCCTGTAGTAAAGATCCATTGCTAAAAGTAATGAAACACGGCTGGCAGGGAAGTGCTAGCCTGCAGTCTGAAAGCAGAGTACGTGAGTTTAAAGCAAAAAACTCCAGTTAGGATGAATCTGCTTTTTGCTCCTGTAACTTACTTGTCCCTTCTATAATCCTTTACTGCAGTTTAAGAAGAGCTTGTTGTGTTCATTAAAACAGTGGCTCGGAGAGCCTATTAAACATTTTTGTGCCCATTAGCACAAAAAAATAGACTTTGCGTTATTGGGATACATGCATGGAAAAGTTATGTTTTTGTGACTAGGCACTTAAAGCTTAAGGGCTCTCACGCTCTCTGTCTCTCATTGTCTTTGCTATTCATGTGGTATGAAATGTAATGTTTATACAAACTCTCAGTTTTGTAACATAAGCTTAAAAACAAAAAGCCTCCAAGGCTTTCAACTGGGAAGCTTCACAGAAACTTTGTACTAGAATGTCCCTATCAAACACCTCTATTTTTCTACAATGATTGATTAAGCAGTTTAACAATGTATTTTGTGTCAATTTCAACTGAACTGTTAAAAACAATTAAGAAATTACTGCTGTTAATTAACAATGGATTTTCAAAGCTGACCGTACTGAGTGGTGTTTTTCATTACTACAGTATTCACATTTGCCTGATAATTTTGACACCTGCTCTTATTAAAACAATATAATTGGAAATGTCAATGGCCTGTAATATTGTTGGCATGTCAAATTTAAGGACCATAAATGTGACACCATGTAAATAGATACATAAGCAACCAAAATCCATCCACAGATCCTTTTTCTCTGCATTTCATTGATATACTATGGTAATTTTTTTTAAGTCTATTGTGAAATTGATGAGCAAGTGACAATATTGAAAGACATATGCAATCTTTCATCAACTTTTCATACAGCTAGATTCTGCCTACTTAGGTATTTGGCAAGCTAGAGCAGTTTCTTTGTATAAAGCCCTTCCAGAAGACTATTATGCAATCTTGGGGGAGGGGAGGAATCTGTGTATCAGGGAGTCTGGTCCATGTTCATTTTTCCTCACCACATTTTCAGGGTCAGATGTTCAGCTGGTGTAAATTGGCAAAGATATGCTGAGTTTAATGGAGCTACATTAATTAATAGCACAAAGGACCTTACCCTCCATGTTTATTTTAAAGCAAGCTCTGGTTTATTATTGTAGGAATAAAAATGATTTTCCACAGTGCCAAAACAATGGTTTTCCTTAAATGATATCAAAACTGACCACTCTGGGAGTTGATCTTCTAGATCTTGATCCTACAAATACTTAAAACATGTGAGTAATGTTATGCACATGAGCAAATCCACTGACAACAATTTGTGTGAAGAAAGTTCCACACAAGTATAAGACTTTGCTGGCTCAAAGGCACAGGGTACATCTAGACTGCAGGATTTTTCCGGGATATTGGAGGTATACCAGTAAAACTCCACCATGTCCAGGGAATGCATTTGCTCTTCCAGAAGCTCTGTCTTCTTTGTTCTGTGAGGAAGAAGGGAACTTCCAAAAGAGGGGGATTTTCCGAAATTTGGCCCAGCATAGACGGGCCGAATTTTGGAAAAGCCTCTTCCGAAAATAAAATCAGAAAAAGGCATGCAAAATGTGTACCTTTGCGTACCTTTTTCTGACAAAAAGGTGTAGTGTAGACCTAGCCACAGTGAGACTGGTAGATCTGTAAGGATCACAGACGCCCTCTGCAAATAATTTTCAATACTGCAAGAATTTAAACTTTGGGTAATTTGAGCATGTATTTCATCTAAATCGATCCTGAATTTTTTGCTGAGGGGCATTTTAAACTCCACTGGATTTCCAGAATCACATGTCTGGGGGACTGTAGTGTAACTGAGTCTTTCTTCACCAATCTTTCAGAAACTTTCTATGGGTTGATATCCCAGATGGCAGGCAGCAGCATGTAGATGTAACACTGTTATCATAGCAAAAGACAAACTGCATTCTAAAACCAGGCAAAGAATCTATTTCATCCGATGGGTGTGAAATTAGTTTTCTGTTTTAAGCAAATTGACAAATACACATCACACTTCTGGCTCTGTTCCCCCTAACGTGAGAATAACCCACACAGCAGAGTTAAAATTCAGTTTCAGCTTGCGTAATCTGCGTTGATTTTTCCTGTCAGAAGGGCACAATTGCCAGCTCTTTTCCTTGCCTCCCACTGATGAAGCCAGTGATTCCAGCCCCAAACATGCAGTTGTCACAGGATCTGCAGAAGGAAGAGTTCCACGGGAATCCTCAGAAACTTAAAGTGAACAACACACACAAGTGCTTTGCTGATGTAAGCCCTATGCCCCCTTACTTGCACATTCATTAAAGAGGTTGAATGAGCCTGGAAGGTAAGCTCCGCTCTCCCTCTTAGAGATGGTCTCTCTGAATCAGAGAGCAAGGCAAGGAATCTGCATGGCCTGTTGCTTGTTCTGTACCTTTTCTGGGTCAGCTGGTGAAATGTGCTGGGTCAACACCACAAACTTTTGGATTAAAAAGAAAATAAAAGACCACATTTTCCACATAAGAAGTGAAGTATCTCTTACTAGACATACAAGATCCTTAGCAGAAATATGGAAAGAAATAGGATGAATGCAAGTATATGTACAGTCATATAGGTCGGCAGAGCTGCATGCTACCCGGCATGTCTCCAGGTGGCAGAGAGGACGGGACCTCTTTTCAGAGGTTTGCTGCAAAATAAGTGTGCTTTGTCGTGCGAATATGCAGTCGCGGACCAGCAGCGGCAACATTACCACGGTGTGATGGGACATTGGGTGGTATCCGATGCTCTGACTAAAAGTCACAAGTGCCCAATGATGATGTTGTGACATGGTGACTGCAGCCCGCCTTCAAATAAGGCTGCCCTACTCCCTCACTCTGCTGGTTGAGGGTCTGGAATACTTGGGTCCCTGGATTACTTTGGATAATCCAATTGGC